CACCATCGCAAGAAGTGAGGGATTAACCACTCTGGCGTTATGAGCATAATCTCGTAGCCCTGCGGCAGTGGGACCACAGCTGAGCTAATGCTTGCTGAATTGGTCGCGATCCTCAAACGCTGCGCCAAACCCGTCCACTGTCGCCGCCATGTTGCCGAGAAGCAACCGGCCATGTTCGGGCCGACGCTTAACGGGGACTGGAGGAACTGTAACACAGTCCTTCTTGACTTTGACGATGCGGTCCGGAGCAAGGGAAACAATCCCCAGCGCCGTGTTGAATCTGGCTCCTAAGAATATCGTGATCCCGCGCCGGAGCGAGGTCTGATTTCTTGAGATTGATAATCCAGCCCAGTGACACCAGAGTATCCAGCACGCACAGTGTGGAGGCTCTGCTTAACTGAGGCCCTAAGGCCCAGTGAAGCCAATCGTCCCAGGTACGGGTGACAACACCTGCCCTGAGACCTGGCTAACTGAGCTGGGATTAGCATAAGTTTGAGTGAACACCCTTGGCCGCGGAGATGCCGGAAGGGGAGCACGCTTGAAACTGGTAGCACGTCCCGTCGAAGGAGAACCGGAGGTACTTCTTGAATCGGGGTGCATTGGAACATGGAGGTATCGCTTCTTTGAGATCGATTGACGTAAGCCAATCCCCTGTCTCCGACGGAGGAGATCACTGACCTGGAGTGTCTCCATCCTGAAAGACGGGCACCTCCAGTAATTTGTTCAGCCCTCTGAGATTCAGAATGGGTCTGAACCCTCCGTCCCTTTTGGTCACGCGAGGAAGTAGGTGGAATAAAACCCTCTTCTCGCTGACTCACAGGAACCACCTCGATGGCCAGCCTTGGTCAGTAAAGACTGAACCTCGGCACGGAGGACTTCCGCCTTGCCGTTGGGTCGAAATTACGGCACGGTGCCGAACCCCCCGGAGAAGGACGGAGGATCGCGCCTCCACTGTGGCAAATGGCCATCCCTGAGCGTGGACAGGACCCAGGGATTTGAGGTGGCTGCCTCCCACTCCCGGAGGAATAGGGACAACCCGCCGCCGACAGGGGACGCGTGTGGTAAGAGGCAGTGCACCCCCACCGCCGGCAAGTCTCGCTTGCGTGAGTGGGGCAACAAGGGCTCTGGGGAATGAATCAGTGGGAAGCCGGGCTGGCCCTTGCCCCGAAAAGACTGCTGCGCTGGAGCAGGCTTGCCCTTGCCTCGTCGCGCTGCTCGCTTTGACTGCAAAGGGGGCAGCCCACTTAACAACATCCTTCCGCCCGAGGCAGAAGGGTAAGCTGGACGAAGCGGGGGAGGGCGATGGCGAGGAGCCGGAGGGCTGCTCCAACAAAGGCTTTGAGTCCTTGAAGGTAGAGACAGCCTCCGCGGCCTCCCTTACCACCTGCAAGGCCCCAGGGAACAGGGAAGATCCCATGGTATAGGGCAATGACAGTAGAGCTTGCTGTGGCCGGCCGGCGAATACCGCTAGCGCCACAGACAGCCACAAGCGCAAGCCTTATGACGGCACCCATCATCTGGCTGGCACAGCACCGAATGCTGTCCCGAGCCAGATGCGCGTATCCTCATAGGTGCCGCTAAGCTGCCAGCGACACCGACTCCGATGAATCGGCACCGCGCAAGCGCTGTGAGCCACCAGCTGTCCCTGCAATGCAGACAGGTAGGCTGAATGGACGGCTACTTTAAGTTGTTGGGTCAAGCGCACCGGTAACATTCTTCAATGACCGGTAGGTAGACTTCAGCGGCAGTGAAGTACTTAGCCGGAAAAGGGGAGGCGCCTGCCCTGCCTGGCCGAGGCCAGGGAAGACGAAGACGACCTCTCCTAATGTGACTGAGGCAAAGACGCACTTTCGCCCACCACTGGTGGTTCGAAGAGCGTCTCCTCACCTAACTGGTACCGCCTGCTGACGTCAGGCAAATCAAAAACGCCTGAAGCGAAGTACCAGCCAGGAGCCGGATTCACCACCTCACTGACCAGTGATGGGAGAATGCGAGGCGTGCCTCTCGCGACCGGTTAGGTCGGCGAGCGCCTCCCGGAGCCGAAACTCCAGCGAGGTCGGGGTGCCGGATCGGAACAGCCACCTGCGGCAGGACTTCGATCTTATCCCGAACCTGCCGCGGGGACGAGGCAAAGGAGTCGGCACTCCGCCTCCGATTCCTCCGTCCCTTCCTCCTCCTCCATATCGACCTCCGGCAGAATCCTCGGCCGCCATAATCTCAGACTCCTGAGAGAACGCCGGAGGAGACGCCAGAGGCAGGACCAGAAAAACTCATAAGGTCAAGAGGAGCCAGGGAAAAGCATCGCCCTGCCGGGAGGAACCAGCGCGCCGAGGTCGCCCGAGGAACCTGAGCCAGGAACCTGCTGCAACAGGCTTCCCGGGTCAACCCAGACTGGCTGCAAAACCTGTATCGCCGCACCAGGCACCTGTGACAGACCAGCGCATAAAGCCAGGTCGCCACCAGACGCTGAGGGCATGCTATCACCACGGCGAAGCCAGGATCAAGCCGCCTCGGAGGCGTTCTCGAGCCGGCTTTCGGGCGCAGCCAACCCCAGATGTAGTCAGCTCCGCCCCGGCGACCGGCGCGCTGAGCTCCTTACGGAACCCCGCTAACGCCGTATCAATCAGGGGACTTGACTGACTCTAAAAAGCGGTTAATCAACAGGAACGCTTTTACAGGTGCTGAATCAAGAGGGGGTGGCGGGTACAGAGACGGAAGCAGTAGGAGATGCAGAAGGGGCATGAGTGCGTGAAGACGAAGCCACTTTGGTCGCCTTTTTAGCTTTCTTGGGGAGCCGGCTCCGCGTGGAAGCTGCACCCGTGGACCCCCTTACTATGGGAGCGCTTGGACGGGGGATCCTGTGCCCAGAGATCACCCCCACCGAAGCAGGTTGCTGTAGAACAGCGTGTCTATCCGCCTCGCCGAATGGTTTGGGGCTTGAGAACATGGCACATGCCGCACACCCTCTTCCTCATGTTCCTTCTGCACTAAACAGCGTAAGCAGACCTCGTGGGAATCCCGTGCATCGGGAATTGCAGCAAGGCATGAAGTACAGGGTTTAAACTGCAACAAGTAAAACCTGTGCAGCAATCTACCCTATACCCACATACAAATACATGTAAAAAGACGCATGGGCAACACAACTAATCGCGACAAATGTAGCATGCAGTTGCCAACCTAGTACACACTGCAGCATAACTAACAATTACGGTTTTTAGCGTAATATAGAAAATGCGAGCAGTAGACATACCGCCCTACACGCATACAAAGATACAAATAAAAACACTAAAACCACCTGTAACATTGAAAACCAGATGGGAAACCAATGAACAGGAAGGCTAGCCGAAGGGACCTTGTCCGCCATCTTGACACGCACTAGCGAGCCGACCACTGCGACAGGTACCAAGTTACAACGAGAAATTATGAATGAAAAATTCAGAAAACCTCCAATTCGCCCATGCAGGGAAAAAAGAGAACCATACATACAGTTGCAGTTTCTGAAACACTCATAACTCTCTTAAGTCGCAAGGGAAAACCTTCTGGTATGGACCCACGTCTTGTCGGTACAACAACAGCATGGAAAGTGAGGTACGAGGTTACGGGTCTAGAGTTACCTGCTCTTGGCTGTAGGGGGCGGAAGGCCCTGTAAGGGTGGTCTCACAAGACAAAGCGTGGTTTTGTTTTGTAAATATTTTATTCAAATATTGTTACAACTGTCGTAGGGAATTTAAATGGACATTTAAATGCTTATAAGTACCCAAGGAGGAATATATAAAAAGAATAAAACAGTTTATTCTTGAAAGTCAATCACTATTCACCAATAGTCAATCAAGTCACCAATCACTGAGCAACTTCGGTACAACCACATAGACATCACTTGCTTGTGTTTTAATGCTACTTCTCGCATCCTGTTCTCTCAGTTGATTGCATTCTCCTTTATATATATGTACAAATGTGAAAAGCATGTATCAGTGTAAATGGTTAAAAGTCTCACTTTGAGGAAAAATCGTTCATGTTCCAACTAGATCCTCAGAATAATAGCACAAATAAATCCATCGTATGAAATAGCACAACATGCTTAATTCTCTCAATGCCGACATTGCATATTCAGTTCAAACTTGCCGACATGGCTTGTCCTTTCCTAACACTCCCAACCTGGATACTGAGCACTTAGGGTTTAACCAAGCTGGAGAAAGTCAAAAGCCCAAGCTATAATTATATAACCCCTTTGTTGTTTGACCACCCCAGCTCGATCATAGACAATGGAAAGTGGTCAGTGGTAAGCAGAGTGTCTGAGTTAGGGTGAATAGGTATTTTAGGGAATATAAACATATTTGAGAATCACTTCATATCTATAAATATATATACAGATTTATAGATAGATATATAACAGAATCTCATAACACTGTGATATTGCTGGAATAGTGTTAAAATAGTGAAAAACTAAACTCACTGATTCATATGTTGATGTTACCTATGAAATATAGACAAACTGTGATCACTCAGCTCCACGATGACACGGGTCACCTGTGTGTAGAAAGAGTGACAACATTGGCTAGAGGAAGATTCTGTTTGCCGAGAAAGGCTGACGACATTGATCCCAATGTGATCTTAACTTTCCTGAAACCACCCTTATGCATGCTTCTCACGAGGACACGATCACCTTGTACACAATATCTAACTTTCCTGTCACTAGTTCTTGACTTTTCTCCATGGCTTTCTGGGTACTTTGTTGTGCAACTTCATAGGACTTTTCCATTCCTTTCCGCCAGTCATCCACAAGTTTTGGTAGGGATTCTGCAGGTTGAGTCATTCTGATTCAGTGTGAATAAAATATCTACTGGTGGTCTTGGACTGTGTCTGAATAGAATAGAATAGAATAGAATAATACTTTAATGCCTTTTCAGGAATTTGTGTTACATCAGCAGAGCTACTGACACATTAGAGAGATACCAAACATATTTACATAAATTCTTTGATTTAGGCTTTGATTTTGAATAATAGGTAAATGGGATAAAAACCCATTGCTTCATGTGTGGCACAGTTGTACACATGGACAAGCTTGTTCACATGGTTTTTCCAATCAGACTTCTGGTCTTTCAGTAGGGTTCTCAACATGCCTAACAAAGTTATTGACCACTTGACCATTTCCTTGTGGATGTTAAGTGGTGGTACGAGATGGAGTTCAACAGTTTCTGCAGATTTTCCAACTCGCCTCCTTGGTCGTAATGAAGAGTTTGAGGGAAACCAAATCTTGGGATGAAATCATTAAAAATCTTCTCAGCTGCTGTACTGCTGAATTATTCTTAGTGGGGTATAACCAGGGCAAAGCAAATGGTCCATCAAGACAAGAATATACTCACACCCTCATTTACTCCTCGCAAGTGGACAAAGTCTACTCCCACCAACTGGAATGGTACTGTAGTGACGATGGATTTCATTGGCCCTCTGGTCTGTCTGCTTGGCTTCTTGTCTTTGATACAGGTACAAATAGACAGTTATGCATCCAAGTCATGTTCCAATTCCAATGTGTGAGAAAGGAATTACTGATGATCATTATTTATGTTACAATCTGAATTTGAGTCTGGAGGTTTGTGAGCCAACACCATTCAATCTCACAGCAAAATAACTGGCGTTTCCCGGACCCCTTGAAACCTAAATGAAAACAAAATGGAAACTTAAGTTTCAACTAGGGTTTCCGGAACGCTTCTCTACATTTCCTGGTTTTCCTAAAACTGAAACTTACAAATTACCCAGAAACCGGCATGGCTCCAGTCGTTCCGTTACCCGAAGTTTCCAGTGAGGGCTCCAGTGCGTTTCTGTTACCCCAGTTTCCAGTGAGGGCTCCAGTGCGTTTGCTACCCAGTTTCCAGCAAGGCTCCAGTGCGTTTCCGTTACCCTTTTTTTCCTGTAGGGCTCCAGTGCGTTTCTGTTACCCAGATTCATGTATGGTTCCAGTGCGTTTCCGTTATTTGGTAGATTCCTATGAGGTTCCATTGGGTTTCCTTTATCCTCTACTTTCAGATGGTTTCATATACATTGTATTTACTTAGTTCAATTATGATTCCCTGTGAATTTCGTTTCTATTAATCACATTTACCATGTTCCATAAGTTTCAAGTAAATCAGAATCTGTATGGATTCATTTGGTTTCAATCATTGAGTATTCAGGGATTACCATATGTCCATATTAAATTATGATTATTCAACTAAATTAAGTGTAGTTGAAATGAGTGTATTATATATTTGAATGTATTAGGTCATATATTTTTATTCATGATACATTGAAATATAAAAATAAACTCATTTCAACTACAGTCTCCTCAACACCACATGGACATAGAAATAAATAAATACAAAATCAGGGCATGTCAGTCGATTTCTCTTTATTCATCATAAACATATCATATCTATGTTTCAATGTTACAATTAAACATTGACACAAAGCACAGAGAGAGAGAGAGGTGTGTGTGTGTGTGTGTGTGTGTGTGTGTGTGTGTGTGTGGGGGTCATCACAGGCCCTATGGATTTGAAATTTTTGTATGAGTAGTAGTTTGTTCAAATAACTATTATGGAGGGGTTGACATTTTTAATTTGAGGGACATTAATTTTAAATCTTAGTCTCAAGAAACAACAAATTTAGATGTTCTTGTCCTAAACAGGGTGACTACAGGAGATAATTGAATGTACATTTAGACATTCCATCCTATTTCTAAGACCTTTTAGGTGGTTGGAAAGCATCTTGTTGGATGGTGTATGCTAAATTACAAGTTCTTCATTTTTTGCCGCTGGAGCTTCAGACACCACTGGCGATGTCAATTCTAGGGTTAGGACTGCAGCCACCTTCTGTGTTCTTTCTCTGCCCAGCTAGATTCTTCAGGGAGGTGTTGGAGTTTCTGGGGAAAAATGAAATTCTTGCACTCTTTTAGTTATGTCCAACATTTATTCTTGAGAGAGGCTGACACTTGTTCTAATTAGATAATGGCACATTCACGGTGATGGGTAATGACATGTGATAAGGAAAGTTATTCTATTACAGGTATATAGCGATGTGATAATATGTAGCACATCATGTCAGTGACTCAGGCTGTTTTAAACTGGTGTCAGGAAGTGTATAAACGGGGGTACAAATGATATTATATAATCCAGTTTCAGGAACTTACAGATCAGATTCTTTTGTTTCTTTTTAGCATCTTTCCTGTGTTTTTTCTTTTCCTGTAATCTGCCGACGCCGATCGTCCGTCTTGCTCCCTCCAGATTATCCAAAAGGTTTTATTAAGAAAAGGAAATGAATTAATTTTCATTCGGTCCAATAATAGATTATTACAATCCGACACAAACATTCATAAGTTTGATTATTATCATGTATCAAAACAAGTAATAAGTAATTGTGGTATATCAACTACATGTATATGCATTACTGCGAGGGTGTGGAGAAGTTTTCTATTAACATGACAGACATGATTATGCAGCAAATATGCACTACATAATAGCATGCTATGTCAATTCTACTGCTAATACTAGATACCCATGACAATGAAATAATTAGATGCTAGATTTACCCAATGGTGAACAAGAAATCGAATTAATTGTATTTTGTAATACTGGCGTCTCTAATCTTATAAAACCCAACATATATCTTGATTATGATGGCCGAGCAATAATAAAACTTGGGGTAAGTTTTTTACCTTAAATAAGTAACTTTTAATGGATTTTCAAGGTACTCGGGAACTTTTCCATGATTCTTCTCACAATAGCCTAAAACAAAATGAGACACACATTTGGATCATGAACATATGTCGATTGGTAATATTTTCCACCAGAATATCATGTACTACTGGTTTCATCTATATTTGTTGCCTTGCTGGATACATGTATAACAATTCTCTTAAAATATATATTTTTATTCCATCAATAACCTGGAAAGGTGAACAAGCCAAGTGTATCTTATATAAGCGGCCCAGCTCCAGTACGGTTCCAATGTAGCTGGATACATAGTTGAAATAGTCCCATGTAAGAAAAGCTAATAATACTGAGACAAAATTACACTCAGAAAAATGACTGAAGAATAAATGTTTGGTTATGGTGTTGGTTGTGCCCAGCAACAAAATGAGCTGCTGCAGGAAATAAAAATTATATAAAACATCAGACTCAACATTACAGGAACACAAGGGGTATTCTTGTCTTATGGTTATATTTTATGGTAATATTCAGCTGGTATCAAATAATAATGTTGTTTTTAACAGATTTCACACCAAAATGCAATGTCCACATTAATAACCGTGGGAGAAATCGAAATCACGGTACGCACCGCTTACTGTAGATTCCTACCGAAAAACGTTTAATTCGATGCAAACTGACTGCTATGATAAGAAGAAAAATAATTAATTTTATCTGAAACCTACCTACCAATTTCTCTGTCTTGGGTTTCTGTTGAGATCGCTTTGAGTTCCCTCGATCCTTGTTTCCAAAGCTTCTCGATTGTCAAGTTTGTTGCCATGTGTCAAGAAAACTATAGCAAGTATACAGACTGCCATTTCTACTACCTTACTCTCATAGACTTACTTGAAAACAACAACAGAGTTTTTCCAAGCTCGGCGGCGTAATGCGTTTGAACAAAGATGGCGACATTTCAAACAAAGACTTATGGGTGAATCAATTAGGTTGTTTTTTTCATTTCTATTGTTAACTGCGCCAATAGTCTGCTTACCCTCTCACAAAGCTTGGAAAAACACTGATAACTGCAATATGTGTTTATGTAAATTGTTTGTTTTACAATGTCCAAGTACATCTGTGAGGCCTCATTCATCTTCCAAATCCAAAGCTTCGGTTTCGGGACAACAATTTTAGTATGATCTGACTGCCAGGTGGAGCAGCACATGCTACCTCGACCGTGTGACGGACTCCAGGGGACTGGGCGGCTGTCAACCATGGCAGGAATCCTCAACCTAAAGAGTGAAACAATATGAGCGGTGGATGTATTTCCCGTAATAAAGCACTCCAGAAATCATAAGTATAAGCTTTTTTTCAGATTTTCCGGACGCTGATGGTATATGACCGGATGATCCAATTTGATCCTATTTCTGTGTTTTTACCTGATATTTAGTCATATCAAGAACAATGTGATGGTTGATCACCTATTATTTTAAAACCACACAGCGTAGTTCCTAAGATTCTGTAGTAAATTAATATTGCATGCAATAGAGCGATTTTACCCGCTTTTTGTCATCTAGTGAAACTTATAACAGGTATAGTACTACATGTTATGTAATATATGCATGCAGGTGCAGCAAAAAAGGAATTATCAGCTGAGTTAAAAACAAACACAGATGAAAGGGATTAACCGATAACACGCGCTAATTGATTTATTACTTTTATCTTGCATCGACATCGTCTTTTGTCAAAAGATAGTCTTTATGTTTGTAGAGTTACTAACGGTATACTGAAAAAGGTTTAGTAATCGTGACGCAGTGGTAGACATTTTGTGATGTTTGTAACAACAATAAGGGCGACACACAGGGGATTTTCAGGTTGACCGCACTTGGAGAACAATGGACATAATCTGTGATGATAGGCATGCAGGTGACACTAAATCTCAAGTTGGAAACAAAATAAATTGCACAACGAAGTGATATCCGTGAAAATACCAGATGTTAGATAATATTTTACATATTCATGACATGGCAACAACAATAAAAATCCATTAAAATGACATCTTGGCACAAATTATTTTAATCATCATAATGATAAAACAATTTCATAATACATGTACATAGTACACATCCAGTCTACACTGCAGTTTCATTAAGTATGAAACTGCTTCTCTTAACGTAACATAAGTACATTTATTCTTCCTGTTGACAAATCATCAGTGGTATTGTAAAATATATTTATCTTACATGTTGTATTTATTGCCACAGCGGATATTTATAAATTATACCTTTATATCATTGTTGACACCGCTCGTGGTTACGTGTATGTCAGGATGTTTGGTGACTATGTCATCTACAGTGGAGACAGCTGAGACTCTACAACATACCCAGGGACATCCAAGATGTAGCATTTCTCTAAAGCGCACCATCCATTAAGAGATATACAGCCCTCATTGAAGTCGGAATGAACTTTTACTTTACATATGTAACTGCTGTTTTGCCATAATAAAAGTGATGAATTTGAAAGTATGGCCAGCATATTATGTACCAAAATTGATGAGTTGGTGCTTACTCATATCAATCAAAACAAGCTAAGTGAGTTCAATTTCATTGATTTTCATCATATGAAGTGAACAAGGTGAGTTCGATGTCACCCTATTTCTCAGTGAGGTATTTCAGATAGCTAATCCCTTTAAAACAACATGCACCGTTTCTAAAGAATTGTGACATTATGTAAAACTTGTCAGTGTATTATCTTTGGTGTCCAGTGAAACCCGGTCAATGTGATTATGGAACAGTTTTAAATAGGCCAGCGCGATGAATGGCGCTAATCGTTCCATTATGTGGATACTGATGGATGACCACTTTTCTCGAACAAAGGTATAGCCCATTAGTTTTGTTATAACGTTAGTTGGTTTTAAGTTTGATATCTGTATTTTGTTTTCATTTCTTGTAGCATTCAACAAAATTATTCCACAAACAACATTGTTCATGTGGAGTTATAAAAGCCTCCCCACCTCTCCTCTCTTCTGACAATCCAGAGCTACTCCAACAAGATCTCTTAGTTTTTCAGGTTGTAAACTGATTCCCTTATATTTTAGGTACTCTATGACATATCTAGAAAGCCATTTAATAAATTTATGAGGTTCCAAAGTTCTTATAAATATGATAATGGATCAATAATGATAATGCTATAATTAAAAGGCAAAACGTTCATTGACTTAATTTTTCTTTCAATCCCAACATTTTTCACCACTGGCAGATGGCGTTAAACTTAAACATATATTTTATATCTATAAGTCTACTGTGTAATTTGTTGAAGCCTGTATTATGTTCTTTATTATTGGATATTTACCATTTTAAACTATTGTCCTTTTTAGTACAGTTATGTGTTATGTGCATAACCACACCCAGTTAGTTGTATTAGTATGTATCACTTTGAGAAAAACAAATGGAAAGCCAATGGGTAACTGAAAACCTAATGGAGCCTCCTATCGGTTCCCTCAGTAATTAGTAAAGGCATCTGTGAGTGTACCTAACAAACCGTTAAGGAGACAAAGTAGAATCTTAAAGGTTTCAAGTAATATGGTTTAAACTTTTCCTGAAATTATTCTTCTTTTCAATGTGACAGTATCTTTTATTTGAATTCTGGTGTACAAAAACACTTGAGATCACTAAACTGAAACTTATATACATGGAATACATAGACAGTTTAAGCGCGTTAGGTTAATGTCGGGTTATATGGTATATACTGGTATATATGGAGTAATTTCCTTCACGTTAAGTTTCATTGGCGTTCCTATCAATGATGGTTTCCAGCCGCTTTATGCAATGGAAACTACCAATGATACTTTACTTTAAATTTCCGTTTCTGGAAACTAACTTTCTTGTTGGTTTCGGTAGTTTAGTCATTCCTGAAACTAACCTTGGAAATTTAAATTTTAATGTGTGCATTATATATAAAAACAAATTACCTGTCTCACGAAGAGTTGTAGTAAAATAACTAGTCTATCACAAAATGTACACTCAAAACATATAACCATAAACACTTTAACAGTACAATTATAAAATGGGCTATTGCTTTTCTCTCCTGCATGGGCCCAAGCTGGATACTGTATATAGAAATTATTTTACAAGTGTAACAGTAAATTAATATAGCCCCCAATGGAACAACACAAAAGCTAAGTTTGCCATTTCATCTAAGCTGAAACCAACAGACTTGTCAGTATCCGGGTACAGTCTGTTGGAACATCTAAATGGTTTTAAATCATGTACAAGGACTGATTTAGTGAAATATATGTTGTCAGTCAATGTGTCTTGATGTTTGTCTTCTTGGTAATGAAGACGAGTCCATATTCCGTAACCCCAAACCAAAACCATATGTAGCTTGGGCGTCCACCTTCCAACGACCCGCGGTCGTGAACTTCGATTTGCTTCCCAATGAGAAAGGCTACGCCAGTCTCGAAGTAATGTCCATGAATCAGACACTGTCTAACTGTGATAGACAATAACGATAATGACCACAACGTGATTTTTCCGACAAAAATTCTTCGTTTTCTCTCTCACTAAAACTTGCTTTAGACCGATGGCTAGCACTAGCGAAAAAACTTATGGTTATGCGCATGCTACATCTCACGGGATCCTGTAAACGGAATTGCGAGTGGAATTGTAATTTAGAAGAATCTTTTAATTTTGATCTGATTCATCACAATTCCATGAAAAGTATTTTTGACTTATCAGACATTTTGGAACTTTGTATTCTGAGAGGTTATACTACATAGGCAGCCATACTTGCAGGTGGAGGCCAGTTTATACTGTGTCGAGCTTTGACTGGTGTCTCATTGAAATCATTGATAGTACTTGATTTACTGAAAACCTGACTCACTGAAGTAGCTGACAAATCTTGTTGGCACATTTCATACAACACATACAGGTATTAAAGATTCACAGTTTTCGATGTTTGCTAATTCAATTTGTTTACTTCACAATGACGTACAATGTTTGTGTAATAGATAAATTGTACATGTATTTTTGCTGGAATCATGCCATATGTCATTTGCTTGTTTGAAAGCTTGGTTCAAAATGAGCTTGTACATCATGTTAGCCATTATTCTACTGTTTGATGAATAAAAATGTTAAAGGAAGTGATTTTGTCTTGTGATACAACGCAGCTTGGAAGGTGCCCCTTTGTTTGTCTGGAGTTGGATGTGTTCACTAACACGAGTTCCATCGATGCTTGTCCGATGACTAATGTTGATCAATTGGGTGACCAATTATAAAATCGCCTAGACTGAGTTCGTTTCAACTGTATTCCGAGTATATCACGGTCTGTCAGCTTAATGTGGAAGCGAAACCCAAAGTGATGCAGGTTTCAAACGTTTACTGCAAGCACAGGTGCAGTGCTGACAAACCTCAAATCCTGAATGGCCCAAACTGTGATTCGAACCCGAGAACAAGTTTCTGGCATGTGCCCCCATTTTCACAATAATTGTAGAAACAACAAACAAGTACTGAGTTTTACAGTATTTTTTACTGCATGAAAAAAAAAGTCTGTACATTTCAATATCAATAATGGTTACAAAATAGACTGCTAAGCAACTGAACTTAGCATGGACTGGAATGCAATACTCCTTCCGGTTAGTTATTACAACCCCTTTTGTTTAACACTAAATACACATGATCAGGGCTTGACTGTTTGCACAGTCAGCCCTCATCTTGTATATCTGGGTTAAATCTTGTCAAATCTATCCAAACCCAGCAAATTGACAGGAATTTATCCACAGCCCTAAATATGTGTATGTATCATGTTAACAAAAATACAAATGCATGTTTAGGGCTCAATAACCTGTCATTGCAGGCAAGCAATGAATAAATAAGACTGACTGTTGTGGAACCCAAGGGGGTAGTGGTGTATTTGTCATAGCCGTGTACTGTCGCCCATCGAGGGGCAAATCAGCTGATGATATTATGAACATATCATTTTTTGAGTAATACATTTCAAATTTTAAATTTTTAAGAAGTCCAAATTTGTGTTTTTTTACAGCACATAAGTATTACTCAAAAAAGAGAGAGATCAACCTTGGGATGACATTTCTCCAAACACCCTGAAATCTTGACCATTGTGAGATAAATATGCCAATATAATTTGACGCATTTCTTGTGTAAAATACATGCCATAACAGAATGATCACAAACAAATGGTTCAGACTGCAAGGTGTAAGAAACTGTCGGCTTATGACATCAGCACCTGTCAATCATATCAGGGCCCTGTCATGTGATAGCACTAAGAAACTCCTCATTAATATTCATAGTTTACTGCTTCTAAATGAATCCTTCATAGCTACAGTAGTGACAATTTTGTGCATGTATTTCTTCATATCCATTCAATATTGACATCTTTGTTGTTACAAATATATCTGTATCATATGGTGGTTACATGATGTAGAACATATCAGACACTTGTAGCATGCTGCCAAACTAGCTACATAACACATTTATAGTAATATACGTTTGCCTCAACCTCAAATACCAATTATATTAACCAAGGTTTTGTTTACGTCACTTCTAAACTTTTTTTTTTTAAAAAGGCATTTATTTTTGAAAAACAATGCAAATTTAGTTTTTGAGTTGAGGCAAATAGTTCCATAATCAACTTAATATTTTTTAATCATTCAATTTTATTATTTAACTACAATAAATATATTACACTCAAGTTGACCTTAACTTATACAGCATAGATTACATAGGTATCAAGAACCAAGGGTCAAGTTGGTGCACACTTATCATGCAGAATAAAGCAAAACGTTAAAGAAAACACCTCCCTTAAGGAAAGTAAAACATCAAAAAGAAAGAAAAAAAAGTAAAAACGCTGTAAATCGGGGATGCAGATATTTAATACTGTTTTGTTTGAGTCTTAAAATATTATTTTAATATTATTTTTGTAGTTTAATACAGTGGTTTGGTTGATTAAATTGGGTCAAAAGCACTCATTTCATGACAGACTATAGCACTGAAGTAGCATGTTATTTTTTAAAGTATCAAAAATTCAACTTCGTTGGACACCTAGTATTTTTAACTTAATGACTACACCCTCACAGACTAGGAAAATTTCCTTTGACTAGAAAAATACTCTACCTCAACATACACTGTAAACCTACAATTTTGAATTTTTTCAGTAGAATTCAATCAATTTCTTTTGAATCCTAAAGTAAAAATATTGTTGAATTTTCCCATAAAATAAACATTCAAACTAAAGAACATGTTTATGTTTGTTGATGACAAAAACTGAAAATGTTATTTCCCGCAGAATTAAGACTGATGTAAGGGAAAGAATCCACTTGTACACGTTTGTGGAGGTCTGTACACATAAATACTGTGTTCTGTACACCCATTGTACAGTGGTGTACAGCATTGCACAGAAAGCTTAAAACAGTCTTGTCCATATACTTCAAGACACAAATCGTACAATCCATGATCTGTAACCATAAGCTGGTTGTCCGAGTCTTGAGAGAGTAATTCACATGGGTTTCCAAATGAACACTTAGCAGAGTCCTAATTAAAACCAGTCTTCCTTCAAGAAGACGTCAAGCTCCCTGTGAAGTGCTGAGGTCGTGACATTTAAAAGCACATCCCACGTGGAAATGAATAAAATCACCTACGACCTCTTCTCGCACGAAATCCAGTAAGTCACGACCTTGGGTGTCACTGCTTCAAGAGTCGACCTCAGGGAGTAGTTATCACAGAACGCACACAGTTAAGGATTGCACATTGCTTATTGAGCACACTAACAACAAAGGGGGACAACTGCTGATGGCACTACCTACAACATAGTCCTACGTTGGCCAGCTGAGTCTCTCTATCTAGGAGGCACGAGTAAGGGGCAATATTGCATAGAACCCGTTCTTGGAAGCGCTGCACTGTGTCGCTATATCGTAATCTCCACGACTTCACCTCCAGCTCACACACTCAATCCTTGGACGACGACGGTGTTGCACTGGCCATGGCGCACATTGCTTGGTTACGTTGGTTGTCATGGGAGACGGGGTCACATGATGAGCATTTTAGTGTGGAGTGATTGGCTACGAAGGTTTCCTGAAAGTAGGATGATGGTCTAGGAATGAGATTCCACTGCAACAAGATGAGTTGCCGGGTGGTCGGCCCGTAACCATGACGATGAGCCTCAACCTCATGAGCGAGATAGTAGCCGTGGAGCAGCAGAATCAGACCAGCTGATTGCCAGTTGCCACGGTGACTGGTCATGTGACTATCGGAACCAATCACGGCCCTTGTAGTGATGAAACTTGAGCAACCATGTTGAGAACTGTCCCTCGCCTCACTCAAAAGACATCAGATTTACAGGAGGCTGAAAAAAAAGAATCAGAAAATTAGTGTCATAAAATCATAAATTTTTTAGTACATCTAAACCACAAATATTTCCTCTTCCAAATTAATCCTCACATGATGTTGATTATATAAATAAGACTTACACTCACCCGATGCGAATACCTCTTTGATGCTTCGCTCAAGTGTCTGCACCACTGCAAGGCTTGTGATTGTGAACCCGCTCGAAATTTGTACACATTTCCTGAAATAAACAAAAACCTGTACTGTCTGCTTCAATGCCTTAAACGCAAAAATGAATATCAGTAAAATCTTCTAAAAAATATATATATAAAAAAAAAATAAAAAAGAGAAAAGGTCAGTTTTAGTGTTTATGATCAGTACTGTAGTGTCATACAATATGTTTTATTAAAAAAATAAATAAATAAAAATTACTTAAATTCCTTTAAAAATTGATAAATAGAAAAAAAATATTTCTGAGTTTCAAATAATCCACACTTGTGGATGGATCAATGATGAACGGGTTTTGTTTGGGTGTAGAAAGGCAATACGTGAGATGGTAGTTATGCAAAACAGTGCAGTATGGCCATGGGAGGTCTTACCCCTGACAGGATCTGTAAGCTGGAATGCATCAGGCTGAAGTGGGTTATCTCCCATGACCACCATCCATCCAACCACTGACATCATCTTGCTTGGATTCGACTTAAACTGCAACAGACCCCAAAAGAACAATGTAAACATAACGTAATTCTTAACAAAATAATAATCTGAAAACACATCTATTACAACTAAAAATGATAGCTTAAAGTAGCACACAAGTGGCTAATTCACTCATCTGCATCTGATTCAAGAAACACTAAAATAAATGAATGATACTCACAGCATTGCGATCTGTACCACGTAAGGATTTTGCTGGATAGAACAAAAGATTTGTCCCCCACATTGCGACCCAATACCGTGTCCATGACGACACCTGAAATAAGAAAAGTTGGTAATAATTTGTGATAATTGAACATGGAGTGAATGTTGTTTTGGGCCATAGCATTTCTCCACCCTGAAAAAATCCCCCCAAGACAAAAGTTAGTGAGTTTAGTTTAGTTTTACGCTGCACTCAGCAAGCTATATGGCGGCGATCTGTAAATAATCGAGTCTGGACCAGACATTCCAGTGATCAACAGCATGATCATCAATCTGCACAATTGGGAACCGATGACATGTGTCAACCAAGTCAGCGAGCCTGACCACCCGATCCCATTAGTCGCCTCTTACGACAAGCATGGGTTACTGAAGATCAATATTCTAACCCGGTCTTCACGGGTCCAAAGACAAGACAATCTGGTGGGTGATAGAATGAGCTGATCCCAGCTGATGAGACTGTTACAGAACCTGCTACAGAACTTGCTATTGCAACATACCGTTGGTTTCTTCCCTTCCTTGAGCAGAGTCTTCCTCTTCAAGCAGCTTTCACATGTAAAACTGGCCTGGAAGATGGCTTCTGGGGGTTCCTCGGAGTCATGGAAATGCACGCTGAAAACGACAACATCAAAGTGAAATATACACAAAACAAAAAACATACATTAAATGACACATATGACAACAAATACTGCGAGAAAAATATGTGATTTAAACTAAAATCATTTAGCACTCTAAAACAATATCTGAAATGTACACTTACCTGTCTTTGTTTGGCCAGAATGACTCAGGTTCACTAGATGTGGAATCTAAGTGCTCTCTACCTTCGACTGAAATTGACAAGATAATTATGAAAGCATGTTCATTTCAGGATCATACGAGTGAGTTAAGTTTCACGCCGCACTCAGCAATATTCCAGCTTTATTGCGGCGGTCTTTAAATAATCGAGTCTGGACCAAACAATCTAGTGATCAATAGCATGAGCATCGATCTACACAATTGGGATACAATTATATGTATCGACCAAGTCAGCAAGTCTGACCACTCGATCCTGTTAGTCGCCTCTGCATGGGTTGCTGAACATCAATTCTAACCCGGATCTTCGTGGGTCGAAGATCACACGACAGGAGAACAAGAACGAACATCACGAATTTAAAAGCTGCACTGGTATGGATCTTGATCGAACATCATCGGTGCAAAAACAGTACACTGTATAAAACTGCAAGTACTCATCACAAATAAACGTCAGTGTCAAAGGAAATTATTGATTTGAACTTTCCAGTAAATGACTTACGATTTTGAAATTTACTACAGACGGATCCATCGCTGGAGGCACATGGCGACTCCTCCAGGACGCTGTCGTCCAGCAGGTGACGGATGCCCTGGACGTAGGGGGCAGTGGTGCGGGAGGGGAGACTGTACGTGCGGTCAGCCTGGGGGTGGGTGCAGCTCATGAAACTGGAACAATCAACATCTCATTAGTCTACAACATTGGTACATTCATTTACTCTTTGGCAATTTTATTTTGGATGATTCATCAAGCATTTGCTTCACACACAAAACCCAGCAGGGAGAACTGAGGGAGGAGGTTCCAGACTGACCATGGTGCATGTCTCTCTACTATTTCTTTCACACCCAGCAACAACCAGAGAAAACACTCCAAATAAAAGGCGTCAAGGCTTGGTTGAGATGCTGCTATATTTTTTACCACATGTAACAATTATCAACTCTTAGAACACTAAAAATATCTATTTAACGCTAAAGCTGTGAGACTTTCTGTGTGAGGTCGCCTAGACCACATGTAACAATTATCAACTCTTAGAACACTAAAAATATCTATTTAGCGCTAAAGCTGTGAGACTTTCTGTGCGAGGTCGCCTAGACCACATGTAACAATTATCAACTCTTAGAACACTAAAAATATCTATTTAGTGCGAGGTCGCCTAAAGCTGTCAGAACTTTCTATTTAGCTAAAGCTGTGAGACTTTCTCTCTGAGGTCGCCTAGACCACATGTAACAATTATCAACTCTTAGAACACTAAAAATATCTATTTAGCGCTAAAGCTGTGAGACTTTCTGTGCGAGGGTGAATGGACCACATGAAACAATTAACGATTCATCGAATGCTAAAAATACATACTTAGCGCTTAAGCTGCGTGACTTTCTGTGGGAGGGTGCGAACTTGGAGCCGGCTCCAGGTGAGAGCATGTTACGTGGTTCCGTGGAAGGGGATGCTGGCACGTGGTGATGGGAGCTGACATCCTCCCGGGACGAGGAGTTGGACTGGGAGTGGGGAGGCTCCAGTTTCAGCGATAACCTGCAACATCAAGAATCATTCATGTCAATACATCCCCAATATAATACTAGATGACATTTATCAACACTGTTGCAAAAAGGAAAATCAATAATACAGTTACAGTTACTCCTTAGACAAGGAAAGAAACAAGTCAATGGATGTTCAAAATTGAGTGAGTGAGTATGGTTTTACGCCGCTTTAGCAATATCCCAGCAACATCACGGCGGGGGACACCAGAAATGGGCTTCACACATTGTACCCATGTGGGGAATCGAACCTGGGCCTTTGGCGTGACGAGCGAACGCCTGTTTAAAATTGAACCACGGTCCACAACAGACTGCGTTAATGAGCATGTGATGTAAACATGGTCCTGAACTCACTTGTAGTTGTCATCCTCCACAAACTTCTGGAGCTCCTCGATGTAGCGGACTGACTTCAGGTAGTTCTGTACGTGCTCCAACACCGGCAGATGGTCTGCAACACAAGGTCAACAATGAAAACATCATCAAAACAGCTACAATCAATACATATCCAGGTTAGAATTATTTTGTATTTCTTAGTTAACAGGTTCTTGTAAATAATCTGGGCTGAAGTAAAAATAAAATTAAAAAACCCCAACATTTCCTATTATTATCTTATTCAGAATGCTATCTGAGAATGTCTCCTAGATGCAGTGACATTTCAGCTGGGCCTGTATCACGAAGTGTAGTTTCTCTACAGCAAGGCAATAACGTACTTGTGAGAAAGATTTTTTCACTTTTATTTTTGTTATCCGGAAATATGTAAACCTGTAAATCGCGTCTCATGGCTTTGCTAAATTATGATATTGAATATATACAGGGTCGGTGTAGACGAACAACTAGCCTCTTAAATGAACATATTTTACAGAAGAAAAAAACCCAGTTCATAATAAAATTTAAAAAAATATATATTGAAAAGGAACCCTGAGACTTTCTTCATTTTCATTTTCCTGAAACTGTGGAAATCTAGACCTGCCACATAATCTAGACTTGCAAGGGCTTTCCTGGATAAGTTTGCTTCATGGTCGTGTTTCCCTGCCAGAACACCATATTATATAAAACTTATTGAAGTAGCATAAAATCTCCCCACTTTCTCACCAAATGTAACTACTCATTTATCATTATTTCTGATATCAGTATTGAAAAGTATTAAAAACCATGGCAGGTGACCATCTGTGAGTAACTTGTGCATACCATACTGTGACTGTTGGAAGTCTGCTATGACTCGCAGGATGTTGTTCATCTGTAGTCTGCGTCTGCGAGGTGGACTCTCCATGCCACCGTGGTGTGGATGTGCAACGTCAATGTAGATCAAGTCAGTCAGGTACAACCCTGAAATGAACAAGGATTTATGTCACATGTGGTAGAACCTGTCAGAAATATACCAGCACATTAGTCCTTAGGTGCAAAATAAATAGTGAAAATAGTTGCTTTAACTGGTTATTCAGAAGAAATACTTTCAACTAAACACTGCAAAAATGAAACAATCTATTTTTTAAGTATTATACTTTTCAATAAAAAAATATTTTTCAAAAGATGTATTTTTTGTACATGGGCTAATAGGTTTGTGTAACAAACGCGCTTCAATATCTAAACATTAAAACCTTCTGGTTACCTTAATTTATTCAGTAATTAATTAGAGTATATTAATATTGTTTTCTTTAGACTTTCCTAACAAATAATCCTAGTGATAGTCTACCAGCTGCATAACATATTCAGAGGGTGCAGTACAGTTGTTCAACAGAAGACTTAGGCTGACACATGAAGTATGACTAGTTGTAAAGAAGCCACGACTGTCTGGCTCATCACAATGACAATCAATATTCCATGAGCTGATCTGAACAATATGCCCCTGGGTCTCACACTGACTCACCATCAGCTGTCATGATGACACAACCTAATATCATCGTTTGTTATGCAAGCTTGGGTCTAATTCTCTGGGCTAGAAATAGCCTTTCTGCTGTCCATGAAATATGATGAAATAAACGTCAAAATTTCCTGACACTTTTATGACGAAATACCTGTCACAGCTCAACATTATGATGAAATTTGTTTCCTAAAATACTTGAAATAAACAAATGTTGGATACGATTATTCAGTTTTTATGTATTTTCGCAATTGACATTAATTCCTGTCATGGCATCCACTGACATTCGTGGACAGTAAGTCGTATATCTCATGTCATCCGAGTCCGAACCTAACCTTGTAATCACGCCTGTAACTTCGATTTACCCTGACTGCTCAGCAAGCTACATCAGCATTAGTCAGACTAGCTTGCTAATATCAAGACATCAAACTGCTGTCTGGTTGGTGAACATCATCTGTTTGCAATATACGACCCTACAGGCAGCCTGATATTTACGTCTCACTCGAATGATGGACATGTAATTGACGAGTAATCCTGGCTGATTGAGCTGAGTCTAAGACGGACATTACAGTGTAATGTATTAGTTAATGAGCGACCAGGTGAAATGAGGTGAAATAGACTTGGAGATACGTTCAGTCTTCTCCCTCAGACATTAATACCTTTGACATACCCCAATTACACTCTTAAGATGTCTGAAATTTACGACCCTCTCCAAATGCAAAAACAAAATATATGCAGACCAATAAACATAACATTAAAGCAAACCTTTTGATCTGATCTAAATATATATCAATAATGATATTCACTGCGTTTGTTTGTTGATAATGTCCAGTGCTTAAACTTGTTCTAATTTTACTCATAACTTTTCTGAAGAGAATTTGTTTTTGCAGGTGAGAACGACCCCTCCCAACTCCTGACCTCAAGGTCACTCTCCCTGGATAACTAAACAGCCATATGGTGAAAGGAAGATATTTTCAGCTGGAACCTTGGTTCAAGCAGATTAAACTGAAATATGTTGAGATAAATACAAAGTCGCCTTCATCAGCATAACATTCAATTGATTGTTCAATTTTCATTGCTTTTATTTCTTTTGCCTCCTTTTTCTTTGTAATGAGTTAGTGAGTATGGTATGGCCACTGTTAGCAATATTCAAGCAATATCACGTAGGGGACACCAGAAATAGGCTTCACACATTGTACCCATGTGGGAATCGAACCCGGGTCTTTGGCGAGACGAGCTAACGCTTTAACCGCCCCTTTTTGTAATGAGGATTTTGTAGCAAACACAAAGTCCCACGCTGATAGTACCCAGGGTCTCAGTGAAAGTGGCCCTCCCTATGCCCCTGTGAAATGTGCCACAACTTACCTAGGTATGGAATACATGGCAGCTTGACGTTCTCCATGTAATCTCGTAACTTCTGTCGATTACTGTTTTCAGAAAACAGGTCTGCCATCTTTTCATACATTGATTTGTCTTTCTTGGACAGCATCTGAAATAAATGATTGATTTTGTTTTTAACTGTGGGACTGTTGAAGCTACACAGGCTAATGTCTTTAGGTTCCCACATGTCTTCAACAAAGCTGTGGTGATGCAATAGTCTGGCCAAACAATGGCAAACCAGTGGTCAAGAGTATGAGCAACAACTACATAATCCTGAAATCACAACAGATGCATTCTCTGAGCATGCTTGACCTTGCCCTTACCACAAAATTAGTTATACGAGCATTGTGGCTGGCAACACCAGAAAGGGCATTGTGTCAACGTAGGGAATAAAACCCAAGTGAGTGAGCTTAGTTTTACGCCACACTCAGCAATATTCCAGCTATATGGCGGCGGTCTGTAAATAATCCAGTCTGGACCAGACAATCCAGTGATCAACAGCATGAGCATCGATCTATGCAAGTGGGATACGATGACATGTGTCATCCAAGTCAGCGAGTCTGACCACCCGATTCAGTCGCCTCTTACGACAAGCATGGGTTACTGAAGATCAGTTCTAGCCCAGATCATCACGGGTTCCAAGGTTCGGGGGTCAAACCATAGATGAGTAAAGAAATGAGTGAGACCCTTTTGTCTCAACAATGCAATGATTGATACTACGATGAAATGAGCTACGTCACCGGGGTCTGAAACTACACTATCTCAGCCAGCTCTGTCCAATAAGTTCTGGTGCAACTCTACTACTCCGGATAAAACGACCGTAGAATAATATTTTCCCTACAAAACACCTCTCATTATCCACCACCAAAGAGCATCATCACCCTTTAACTCACAACACATGTTGGCTTCATTACAACTATCTTCAGAAGCATACAACCTCGATCAGGCAAAACAATCTAAAAATAACATTTCAAACGAAAATAAGCACAAAAAGCATCCATCTAATGACCAATTATCTTCCTTATGACCCAATTACAAAAATTCTTGTTTCTATAATCAAAGGACGTCATCCTCACAACTACTCTTGGATAGGCGCATTAAGAACACACCGAGGCTGCCAGGCTGAATAGCATACCTAAATGTCACGGGGAAATTGACATGTTGTTTACATGGAAATATACGACCATTATCTGGGCAGCATGGTTTTATGCCTGCCTTGTTACCTAACTGTTAGAAACAAATAACAGGAAGTATTGCTTTTAGATACATATCAACCATACACGTACAACCAATCTAATTTGACCTTGTGCAATGTAATTATAACAGCATTTGTAAATACATCACCGAGGCGTATTGATCGCTGGGCAACCGCGTTGTAGAGTCAGAGCAACCTAGACAATGTATTTTTACTTTTAAAAGATTTCGTAATTGCATTCTTGGACATTATGCATGCTTCTTCACTTATTGCATCAATTGAATAATGTTCTATGAAATCCTGGATTTACTGGAAGAGTTTGGTTTCAGCAGCTGCCGATATTAACAGATTCTTACTGCTTAAGTTTCCTAATTGTATCTGTATGGCTGGTTACATCAGAAAACTGACTGACTGATTTTGGTTTTACGCCGCTTTTAGCAATATTCCAGCAACATCACGGCGGGGGACACCAGAAACGGGCTTCACACATTGTACCCATGTGGGGATTCGAACCCGGGTCTTCGGCGTGACGAGCCAACGCTTTAACCATTAGGCTACCCCACCGCCCCACATCAGAAAACAACCATGTTTTTCGTTTAATCAAATTTTATACTAATCAGAAGATGATTTTTTTCATATGACTGTCAATCTGGGATATCAGACCTACAGAAGTCATGAAAAAAAACCCTTAACTTTCTTTGATTGTGTATTTTATGTTTGACGATGGTTACAAATCAGACATTTACATAATCCAATTTGGGCTACATGCTACTGGAATGGGAGTGATTATATAGATCAAAACACAAACGGTAATGATTACCTCATACAAATTATCTAAACTCGCTGAATCTAAACTGAATTTGCTTTATATGCTATTACCAAAACATCAAGCATGATTGACAGGCGATGAAATACACATCAGTGAAATTGATTACAGACAATCAATCTCCCTTTTGTGATAGGTCTAGAGGTTTATCAAATCAAACAGTGTCCGTCCTTTGTATTATGTAGCACAAATTGCTTACTAGACCAAATCAGACTTGTCAATATTGATAGTTTTAGATGGATGCTGAACCACTCGCTAGAGCAGTCAGAGGTCCATGATTACAGAGTCACGGGATTTATCGGCCAAATCGATCCCGAAACAAAAAACATGACTTCATCATCAAACGTGAAGGATGGGGTTGTGTTACCTTTACAAACACCATCAAATAACCATCCAACATTGGGCGAGAAATTTACATATTTGCACAGAAACCTGGCAAACAGTTGATCACCATTTAAGCAACGAGTGGGGCATTTTAAAACAAGGCCTCTCTACCCTGCTTGGATTTGTTATTCATGCATGGGCACTAAATGCTGCAAAAACACACATCAAACCCTCTTCAGGATATAAAACATTGATTGAGTGAGTTTTTTCTGTAAACATTTTAGGGTTGTTTTGGTATGGTTTATAAGGCTACATCTTGATGGTGGAATACCACCTGGACCATAATACCAGCACAAACAGAGAGTGTCGAGTCAGCAAATACCAATCTGGCCCCGATTTCTCAAAACAAACTTAAGTTTTTACTCAGATTTCAAACTGAGTTTGACAATTTGAAACTGCTGAATTTTGAACTCAGCTGCATTTTTTAATAAAAAAGCCCAAACCACTTGAGTATTCTATTCACCAAACTCAAATTGTCTACTATGTTTGAGTTTAATATCGATTTCAATTCATTCTGGGAAATGATTTTTCTCAAATTTGAGTAAAAATCCGAACTTAAGTCAAAACTCAGACTTAAGTTTGTTTCGAGAAATCGGGGCCAGTTCTACTTAGAAGAGCTGGAATTTACAACACTACAGTGCATAGTTGATGTTCAACAGAGAGATCCAAGGTTTTCTTCCAACATATTGAGTCTTACGTTGACAGAGAAAACCTTCATTTGCTATTTGGCTTCTCCAAGGGGACTGTTGTTTTGTGGGCAGTTTGTTTGAACTTCTAAATATTCAACAGGATGGGGAACATGTGAAGTCCTTCAGTCATGATCTTCACAGGTGTTGTTTTATGAAGGGAACGTGCAGGAAGGAGAGATCTGCATGATACTAGATTCAGATTCTACTGATCCTTTGAAGGCAATTCCCGAATCCTGGAGTGTGAGACCAAATGTATTGCAGTGTATGGATAGTTTGTAGGTTTGGTACTCAATATATATTATATATCAGAATGGGAATAATGCAGACAGCACATGGATTACAAATCCCACCGTATGAAACAAAATGATAAATGCAAACGTTCTACAGTTGAAGCCTGTGGAGATGTGAATCTGATCCAAACTTACCATCCATGTTCTGGAAAGACGGAACACGGCAGCACTCTGCAACGCGGAAATCACCGCCATAACTGCATGTAGGTTGTTTAGGTCAAGAAGTTTCTGAAAAATGTGAAATAGACGTGAAATAGACGTGAAATGAACATCACTTCACTAAAACACAAATGTAACAACCTGTCCATCCTGACAAGTCACAAGGACAAATTCACCCACTGGTGTCTATATAGACTTGCACAAGTCTCTCAGGTAAACATTCATAGTTTAAATGATAATTTCTAAAAAACATAATAAGTAAGACCAGGGTCCTTGTACTGTCAGGTTATCTAGACTTGCCTCTTTTGAAGGATAGAATTACAATGTACTATACATCCATGGGCTCAGCATTCAGCACAGCCTTGGAGCAAGGCTAGCATCAATCTATGTTCAATGATACATTTTTGGCTTATTTCCTGAAATGCCTCATATTTTGAAATTGGAAATTCAAGCATCATAATATACCGTAATCGTATATATTTTCACGGGGTGCAATTTTCGTGGAAAGTTCACCAAAGACCTGTTAGCGCAGTTGTTTTTTTCGCGCATTTCAAACACCTGAGTGATGGTATCCATCACAAAGTTTTCACAACCAATAGACATTCAATGATCAAAGCTAGCCGCCATAATTGAATCGTGTTTACTAAAACAATAAGAGAGAGAGAGGTGGGATTATACTTGTGTCAACATGACAACACCTGTCCCATATACGAGATTAACTGACAACAAATGAAGGAAGAGTGTATACCAGTACTTACAAACATTAAACATAGAAATCATAAAGTAGTGTTTGTTGTTTATGAACACGTGTTGTTCACACGGTCAAATCGTTGATTGGCTGCATTAAACAAATTGCATGTTGTTCCTACTTGTGTACTTGACATGACTTGACCATGAATATTTCGCTTGGTATGATTATTGACGCACAATCTTTTTGCGCTAAAAGCGCAAAAATTAATCCCATGCGAAAATAACTATGATTACAGTAGTTTCAAGGTGAAAGATATCACCAAGATCTTTTACATGTATCTACACCAACAATAACTATTTCCGAGACCAGATCTACAATACTGGCATGTCGTCTACAACAAGATGTGTTTCATCTGAAACTGATAAGAAATGAGTGTAATTTCAAGATGCTTCAAAGTTGAAAGGATCTTTCTTGAACACATCCTTGCACACAATTCATGCAGTTATTCCACGTTATCTGTTGTTGTAACATACCTTTGCGATCTTGATAAAATGAGACAGGACCTCGGCTCGGGCTTTCAACGTTTGGCAGTTTAATATCTCCTTCTGAACCCAGAAGTTGACCTGGAAGAAGAGAGTCCACATGAATAATGGATCTAAAACATCGACAGCATCTGGCAGCGGGAAACAAGGAAAAACATTTAAAAAGTATGTAACCATTTAAACTGGCTGCCTGGCAGGTTCAATACATGCGCTTGAAACATGTTTTCCGTTATCTGTCAGTCGTCAAAGCCTTGATGGCTGAGTCGGTAAAATATCTGTGCTACGGATTTGGTGCGCCCCATTTTGAGAGAGTGGGTATGAAGACTGGATGCCAATAAGAGCTAAAATTTGTAGTAACGAATAAAGTGCAATCCCACATACAACATCTGTTGCATTTCCAAAGGCATTGTGTATTCTTTACAATATTTACATAAAAGAACAATATATTTATTCTGAAATGAAAATATTTAGTTAAGCTAAAGCCAAGGGCAGGTATTGTGCATCAGGTGTCAGCCAACCACCAGAACACTCATTGATTTCACTGAATATCAACATCCACAACAGGGAAGGAATGCTGCTAAAAAGTTTCAATTTCAAACACTAAAAGCATATGCAGCTTGCTGAAATGGAAACATGTCTTCTATTAGCCAAATATTTTGGTTTAGGGGCAGTTATTATCATTACCTTCATAGCTGCGATAATCACACCTTTGCTTGTCGGTAATGTTAGGTTTGTGCTTCAAACGAGCCAGTTGGTTAAGCCAGACATGAAATCGATTACTGAAAGGAAATCCTCATAGGTACTTGGCACACTGCCAAAGATCGTACATTTCATTCACCACCACGAAGAACATACAAGGGTTTGGCTTGCACAGCTGAAGGGTATTTCAGCAAAAAGTTGTGTGTATTTCATATGAGTGAAACTTTGAATGCGGAGTGTTTGTGACTTATTCAAGATTACACATCTAACTGTGCATTGCTGACAAGTTTGGCATCGATTCTGGCTGACTTTTCGACACTGCTGCATTTGAAACATGGCAGGTTGTTTATTTCAGATGCAGGTTTTAGAGTCTAATTGCAGGTAATATGTCGAAGCGAAATGTCCAAGTTGACAGAAAGGAGTGCCAATTTCACCCAATTTATACAGTTTCTACAGATGATGTCTAATGAGAGATGCTACTTCAGAAAATTACTATGTTGAAATGAACATGTAACTTACATGGTTGAATCGCCTGGTGAAAGCGACGACATTGGGGGCTTTGATGAGCTTCTCCTTGGTTGTCCAAGCACATGATGTAAGCTCCTGAAATTGACAACAATAAACATGTAAGCCCTGAAATTGACAACTGTCTACAATGAAATGTACGCCTATGTAACTCATTACTATCATTCCGGGGAATCTGACAAACATTGCCGAGAGCACTTTACGCGTTCTTTTATCATTCCGGGGATGCTTACAGTACTTCAAACACTTCTTGTTGCAGGAGATAGATTGCTTATTCCACAGTTGCCCTAACCTTCCCGCATGTTAGACAAGTAGGTAGATTATGGTCGATGTACAAGTGAAATGAACTAGTTCCACACTGAAACACAAACTACCACAGACTGAGAAACTCCTTGAAGGACAGATAATGTCTCTTGCCAAATACAAGGTCTAAACAAGGCTGTGAGTGTTCCCTTCTTACACGAGGTATATTTTTTAGACAGTCCAGCCAAAAGTGTTTGTATGCTGGTTTGAAATTGCCACTCGAGGATATTTAGAGCAATTATATTCATTTTTGGTGGCTTCTTCACTCCTAAGAGTTTTCTGTTATGCAGAAATAGATATGAAATTGATTACTTGAGTCTGAGAGACACAATAGATTGCTGTGACCTGCAAATACACATTACTGAGGCATATGAGCATAGTTGCTACATCACTTGAGCATAGATACATTACTGAGGCATATGAGCATAGTTGCTACATCACTTGAGCATAGATACATTACTGAGGCATATGAGCATAGTTGCTACATCACTTGAGCATAGATACATTACTGAGGCATATGAGCATAGTTGCTACATCACTTGGAGCATAGATGGGCTGAGGCATATGAGCATAGTTGCTACATCACTTGAGCATAGATACATTACTGAGGCATATGAGCATAGTTGCTACATCACTTGAGCATAGACACATTACTGAGGCATATGAGCATAGTTGCTACATCACTTGAGCATAGATACATTACTGAGGCATATGAGCATATGAACATTATTTGAGCATAGTTACTACATTCTGCATTGTGTTCCTGATTACTACTATTTCCAGTTAAAACATTACTTGATCATAGTCAGTTACTTCATTACTGCATTGTGTTCCTGATAAGAAATGTGGATGAGTCAGGCTACTTGACACACCACAGTAGACAGCACTTGATACAATACACGCAGGCGTCACACAATGCTCATAGGTGTGTCAACTGTATCACATTCTCCATTCAAACAACAAGAGGTCAAGTCAATCTGGGTTGTACATTTTCCACATTTCCGCTTATCAAGGACATATTAACCATCTAACTTACAGACACTAAGGTATTGTTTCACGAGGTTCAGTCTCAATACACTCACATATGGGCGGGAAATGAAATATTTGGAGAAATAGCTTGCATCGCCTCAAGGAGATCCCTCCATTCAAATCCTCCACAAAATATTTCCAAACAGTAAGTTCTAAATGAAAGTGTTTACTTACATCAGGTTCGATGGACTGGAAAACTGGCAAATCTAGGAGTGTTATCTGACTCTGAAAACAGAACAAAATAGTTGTACATTCGGCAAGATATGAAAATAAAATGCACAACAGGCAAACATCTTTGAACAAAACATTAACAGATGTAGATTCTAGGAACCGGAACAATATCATACAAGCAAGACAATGTCACTTATCCATTTTGGTCTATTCCTGATAAGGATATTTTTTAAAAAAAACACCCCATAAAAAGTATCATAAAGAAACCTTATCAGCAACATTTTAAGAAGTGTTGTGTAAGCCAGGTTTACTTACAGCAAAGTCATCAGGGGACACTTTGAGAACATCGAACACTACAGCATCATAACTCTTCATCCGTGGGAGACTAGATCTCTTCTCCAGCGACTCCTGGCTTCCTTGACTGGCACCCTGGAAACAACACAGTACAGAGTAAAGAAACAACACAGTACAGTGTAAAGAAACAACACAGTACAGTGTAAAGAAACAACACTGTACAGAGTAAAGAGAAACGAAACAACACAGCACAGAGTAAAGAAACTACTTGTCATTCCTTGAAACACAAGACTAGTCTCAAGTGGAGACTTGTGGTGAGGAAACCAGCCTGCCGTTCAGTGTGGAAGCAAATTCACAACAGCTGTCAAGCTTGACCAGGCAAAAGACAATCATTTTGATGGGCGAGTGAGTGAATTTAGTTTTACGCCGCTTGTAGCAATATTCCAGCAATATCATGGTGGTGGACATCCGAAATGGGCTTCACACATTGTACACATGTGGGGAATCAAACCTGGGTCTTCAGCGTGACAAGTTGACGCTTTAATCTTTAGGCTACCTCACCTCCCCTATTTTCATGAACAAACAGGACATGTCTGTATAGCTTTATCAGGATAACATGAATAGTCACTTGATAACTTAAAAATAAATCCTTTGAAAAATTTTTTTAAATATGAAATTTAGAAAATTCCATAATTGACTTTTATGTTAGCAATTAATTCAGTTCCATCAGAAAATCCCTAATGAGGTTACTTTATATTAAAATGAATACTCTAATGATCTATTGGACATATATTCCTCATGGAAATTAAGATGCCTTCCATAAAAATTCAATGATTGAATTTTCTATCTGGTCATTATGAAATGAACCCCAATCATCCAAGTTGCTTTCATTTCCTGATAATCAGACAGCTCAAGCTAACCTGTGATGGTCTGGCTAACCAACAGATGAAAGATTCACGGAGATCGTAGATTAGACCTTGAAGAGGAAGCAATAGCCAACAGGTGTGCTGTTTTTGTAATCTCACAGATAACTTTCTCACTCCAAATAAAAACAATCTCCTGATAAGTCTATCTCTTGTAAGCTCAGAGCGTCTTCACCCGAGATTTGTATGACCTGAATGTTTCCACATATTTCACCACCACTAAAAACGTGTTTCCACTTCTCTTGCGATAATTCCCTCAATTCCTCCATAAAACTCCCCAGGAGTCCGAGCCGCTCCAACTGCATACCCTTTAAATCCTCAACATATTTCCTATTTTTGTAACATCGTAAGACCCTCCCTTTTCCACTACCCATTTGTCCGCATATGGTCTCACAGAAACACATTTCATGGTACCTAGCTTAATTTACAAGATGCCCAAACTGCCATTCTGTCCCGTTCTCTACCTGCCTGCCCAAAATAGCAGGAAACTTGATGCTAGATCGCCCCAAACCCACGCATCCCTGGCCAGTATATTAGCCCTCATATGATGGAGTTCCCCCGCCTCATCTTTCCCTGGCGATGTAGCAGTATAAACGGCAACCTGTTTTCAATGGAAACAGCACCAGGATTCTCCAACCATCTCCATGAAAGAGTCAACAAATTGACAGCTCTTGCTGCATGGCAATATTGTCTTAGCAGGCCTAACCTGGCAGACTACAGCCCAGCTCATAAATATACGCAGTACTGAGAACAGACTCCCTTCACATCTCCCTGTGCCAAATCCAATATTTCATCAGCTTTAGCAGGCTGCAGTTGTTGAGGAATATTAGTTCGACATCCAATTTTGATAAAGAACAGACAAAAAAAATCGGATAATTTTTCAGCCTGCTCAGTTGTTTAGAAAGTATCTCAAACTTGATGTAAATAGTCGAAACAATTTCAGTGGGGTAGCCTAGTGGTTAAAGCGTCAGCTCATCATGCCGAAGACCCGGGTTTGATTCCCCACAAGAGTACAATGTGTGACGCCCATTTCTGGTGTCCCCCGCGCTGTGATATTGCTGGAATATTGCTAAAAGCGGCGTAAAACCATACTCACTCACTCAACAGTTTCATAAAATAGAGTGATACTTACACTTGAATGATTTTGGAAAAGACGACCTTTAAAAACAATATTGCCTTTGTTGTCATTACACACATTTTTAAAATAAACTAACCAAGTACCAGAGGACCACCCATATTGTTATTGTTGATAATAGAAGGCCAGCTTATTTCTACCTTGGGGCACTACAACAACAGTAGGAAGTGAAGGATATATATGTGTACAGTCTACGACCACCAACAAAAGTGCCACCGGGGCTTGTTGTCCAAATACCTACAGTGTTAAGCACTTTCCATGATCAGAGTAGATACTGCTTAGCTGGTGATTTGATAGCGTCCACATCAGGGAGTGATATACCCACACTGATATGCGTATTCTATTTTTACAGATTTGGTGAACAACTTTAAGACATTCCAATTCATCAGATCAGACTGGATTGTTATTTAAATCACTCCAGTTATCCAAGTAATCTGTAAGCCGAGGTCGGCTCTGACTTCAATGGTACGAGATAGCTTTGGCAGACTTTTGATGGACAGAAACTTTCCCCCTTGCTGGTATTAACTTATACATTAGTAACTTCAAACAGCAACGACTAACCAGCATTTCTTTCTTGCTAAGGTAATAAGTAAGATGAGAAAGGTATATTTCATACGTACAGTTTGAATTCTATGTAAAAGATGCTGGAACATAGACACCCGCCATCACTAAAGTCAGCCCTAGTTGTTAGGCACATGGTATACAAATTAACATGCAGCCCCATTCTGTATCTATAAATATTGCTAACATATATGAATAGTGTGACCAGAATATTCTTGTTTAAATCACAAATGTCAACCAAACAGCCTTGAACTTTCAAATTTCCAGTAAGGTTTCAGTATTTTTGACCTTGAGATTTGCAATTCACAATGTCAGGAGGCAATGGAGGCAAGAGGCGATACTCATGGTGTGTGTACCCTGTGTTTGACCAGTCAGTCCAGACATCCTCCATACACCAGGTACAAAGTGCTTGTTCTCCACCGAAAGTCAATGGCGGATCAATAACCGAGGTCCACAATGCTATGATCTGGATCAATACTTTATCGATCTCCAATTACTAATCCTCAGGATTGGATCCTCAGCCTCACCATTCAGACAGGCAATTCTGGCAAGTAGCCTCAACGGCTGTCACAATGTCACGATATTTAATTAAACCCAATAAAGCTGGAGGTCAGAAAGTTGTAGGAATTAACTTTTTGCCACATCGCATCAAATCAAATTTTCTTTCAACAGGAATGTTGATCTCAGACAGTATATTTTTCCATAATCTAATCACAAAATCTTCCAGAAAAACTAGCTTGTTTGCCATTCCATGTAAACAAAAACATCAACTTTTTGACATTAAAAAAAATGAGGAAAAATAATCCTGTCTTGAGTCATTTAGTTAAGAAATGCATCACCACGTCCCATCTAGTTTATCAAGATGGCAGAAATTACTTTAGGCAAATACATTTGCTACGCGTTTGTAGCAACAGGTTTGGAGAGAAAACTGCTGTGACCGTTAATGAATATTGCATTTTTTATAACACTTTTCTCGTTTGTCAGTGATAGGCAATTACACAGACATGGTTTATATATATATAGCAATTTAGTTCAAAGGGTTGAAGCATTACTGCCAAAATTGAAAAGATGGCCATTCGTGGCCAAACATACTTCATTCATTGATAATGTCTTGCTGTGAAGATAAGAGTTTTGCTTATAGAAATGAAATCTTTCATGTCGAAGATTAAAACAAATTTCTCTTTATGCAATTAATACACAATTATATATAAATGTAATAAATTCTAATCAGCTTTTTATCATTGAAAAAATTACAATCTTTCTAAATCTGCTTAACCTGTTTGTTGTATATATATGTCAGTTAAAACATGTTGTGATATTCAACACAAACAATCCTTCAGACACATCTAAGATACAAACATTCCCGTAAATGTGTCGGCCGAAGCAGGTTCAGTGTTATGAGGAAATCAATAGTCTAATTAACAGGCTTTGGCATGTGACATCAGTGTAAATCAATCCTGAAGCTGGACTGTTAGCCAGGGCCGGCCATTCATCAAGAGGATTGGCCAATGGAGACTGTAACAATAGCCGGCAACTGTCTCCAGACAACTATCAAAGGAAGATGTGTTGAGACAGTTGGGTAGAAATCTTATTCACCTCAGGAAATCATTCAATGACCTTTGGCATTTATCTATTTCAAGTTCATTTTTTTAATCTATCAAGTTTTATAGATTTTTTTGTTAGAGCCAGACCATGGTGAGAAATATTACTGAAAAACATACATACATAAGTCTTGAATATATAACAAGTCAACTTATAGTTTCATATTTTCTTGAAAATGTCACCAGGAGAACCCATTTCCCAATGTTACAAAATCAATAATGGAGACATATCTGAGGTGAGAATACCTGCAAGACACTGGGTTGTTCCATGTTTGTAATCACAGTATCATGGTGAGAAGACAAACCCTCATTATAGATCAAAAGTATACAAAATGTGACTGAGTTTGGTTTTACGCCACTTTTAGCAATATTTCAGCAATATCACGGCGGGGACACCAGAAATGGGCTTCACACATTGTACCCATGTGGGGAATCGAACCCAGGTCTTCGGCGTGACGAACTAACACTTTAACTACTAGACTAGCCCACTGTCAAGAGTATACAAAAACAGTGAGGACCAAATGACACTGTTGTAAGCAGAGGAAACATGAATTAAGCAAGTTAAAGCAATGCATTCTTCATTGAAATGTTTAAAGAATTTGAAAAGTCCTCAAAGTGCAACTTTTGGCGAACATGAAAAAAACAAAACATCAATGTCAGTGGCATTTTAGCTGCAGGTGACAAAAACCTTTACGATGCAATTTTCACTCATCTGTGAGATTAGCAATTACTCTTTTGCACCTGTGACATAGTAAAATATTGTACAAAAAACTGTTCCATGAACACAGACAGCAATAACAACATTCCTGCAAGCAATCAACCGTTGTGACCTACTTACTGCAGACAGTTATAAATAACAGTACATATATTACTCACACAAAACATCCAGTCCAGTTTCCCACTTCCAACATAATC